AATAATATTGGCTGAAACTTTAATGTAACTAACATTTCCCAAATTTTCAATATTGAAACCATTACGTTTGAGGTAAATACATCTGAGATCATTTTAACAATAAGTATTAAAAGTCCTTTATTGTACGGTTATTTTCAAAAACATTCGCTCCCTTTCGTTACGTTACAGTGATGTTATTAATCTTAGCATCGATGTTTATTAAAATTCTTTCCTAGTTTCTCTAGCCCTCTGGTGATAATATAATATCTATACAACTGTAGTAGTGCCACGCATTAGTCTCCGCTGTTGCACGTGTACGCAGCTCCTTCCGGGTAAGTATCGTGAGCACACAGAAGTGGTAGTGTATAATTCTGCCTTTCGCCTGTTTAGTGGCAACGCATCTGCAACCTTACGGGTGTTGTAAATTTCAATGAGCGGTGGATATCGCTTAACACCCATTGAACTGACTGCTCGATTGCCACCTTCTCTCATAAAAAAGAAAAACAAAAAAAAGACATTGAAAAAAAAAAGGAAAAAAATTCAGAAAGTATATACACCAACATATCTTATGTTCAATATATAGCAGCATTAACGTGACAATATATTATCAAGCAGGAAACGAACCTCGAGTTTTTCGTTTCGCAATCACTTAACACCGACTACACTGATGGACACACTTGTCCCTCGCGATTCGGAAATTCGATAATCCGCTCGAGTGCCGCGGCGTTCTGCGCGCGTGTAAATATTAACACATCGCTACGTATCCCTCCGCCGTTTCCCGCTTCATAGTTTATTTATCCCGGGGCGATTATTCCGTCGGACGGTGTAAACAAACGCGTTTACATCGTTCCGTGAAAACGCAAACACTCATAATCTGCAATCTTTCCGAGTTGCCGGGCGGCCGGCCCGAGGCGCGTACGTACTCCTTTGTCCGCCGTTTGTATCAATAGAGGCGCGACCTTTTGTCGGCGGACGACCTTCGCAAACATGAATACGTCGAAGGGTTGGGGTTACTCTTTGTTTACGTTGCCTGCATTCGGGTATAGGTGAAGTGGTTCCGATAAGCGATGAGCTATATCTGTCCATCTGTATTTACGGCCACGCGGCAGTGACCCGCGTAAAATCCGAAAGCACAAGCCTGCTTTATTTGTATTATGAATATTGCTAATGATAACGAAACTGATGGGAAAACAGTCGCATTTAATCGTAAACACCCATCTCATTTTCCGATAGTGTTGATCCGAATAAACAGCAATAGATCTCACGGGTTTTTATGATGACCCACTTTCGAAATACAAATTCATTTTGATGCGCGTAATTCGGCGATATAATCAAAAGCAGAACAGATTTTTCTTCCGTCCGAAGCTAACAATGGAACACAAAGAGGCCATTCGTACTGAATCCACGAGCAGAAACGACTGGCATAAATCATCCTGTGGGGGTAGAAAAGAAAATTACCCAATAACTAAGTAACTCCACGAGAAAGCCGAAGCAAAAACGGGATGGATGGACAAATTTACGCTTAGTGACTTATTTATCTCTCAAGCGCCCTTAATTAAGGGGAACTCCTCGTCGGCGAAACAGCCGCAGATTTCGTTTCGGAAAAAAATAACAGAAAGTACGGGCCCGCCTGAAATCCGCCGAAAGTACAAGCCCGCTCTAATATTCATTAGCGACGTGACGGGCAAGAAATCCTCGCTAATTATTCATCGGCCTGGTAGTCGAATCGCTCCTGTAGCATGGTCGGACGTTTAATGGTTGAGCGAAATAGAAAAGTTTTTAATACAATTCAAAGCTAAAGTGTCCCACAGAGTCTTCGTGAAGCCCTCACCGAACTTGGCGGGAGTTCCCGTCTAATATTTCGATTAGATTGTGCGGTGCAGCGTGGAAGGAGTTTTAGTTAAGCTGTTTTTAATGATGTGAAATCACATAACGCTAAATTTCTCTTAGCTTAATCGACATATAATATGATTTTACATTAATTGCGGCAGCTTTTTATTATGTCATAATTGTCTTGTTTCTCCTACTGGATTCTTTACTGAACTAATTTGCGATGGAGAAGCATGACGGACAATGCACTAATACCCTCTGTCCACATGAGGCATTTGCCCAGTTGTTGGTCATATGTATGTGTTTTGAGCTTTACTTTACTTCTACTGAATGATTAATGTTATCCGACGCAAAATCTATACGCAAATTGGGTACATTTAGTTTGATGTCAAATAAGTCTAATTTTTATACCTTAAAAATTACTGTAGCGAAAATTATACAATCCGACGAGTTTATAAAATGAATGGAAAATTATACCTTCAGTTTTCACCCTTTAAGTTTTAGAATATTACCTAAGCTATATTATGTCAATCTAAACTTTGAAACGCGGATAAAATATTAATGGATTAAAATCGACATGAATCATCCTTTACAATTTTAGATATTCAACCCCTCTTTGGATATCATAACTATATTGAAATAATAATAGCTATTACGCTCGACTTAGAACAAACTTAACTCACATTGGCCCGTTAACTTAGAACTTTGAAAATTGCTTAGATCATAATAACATAATTGAAACTTTCATAAAGAATTAATTAAAGGGTAATAATTTAAATAAATAGCAAATTTAATTAACATAATTTCAGTTGAATCAAACTTTGTCTGTATATGTTAAATGGATAGTTAGTTAGTTTAGTTCAATTCAAATATTAAAAAAAAACCGTACTACATGGTAATGAACGTCAACGAAAACTCGCACAAGCAAAATCTATAAATAGTAATGGAAGGATTAATGTGAGCGCGAATATCACGATTTGCAACGGAGCAATTTGGAGCTCAACTCAACAACAATAGCTGATTAGGAGAAAATTTGTTAAAAGGTTTATTACAATTCGTAATTATAATATGTTTCGAATGATATTGGTATTTCCATAATCATGGCTATTATCCAAAGAACAGTCATATGAGAACTCCGTACCATTGGTAATAAGGTTCTTAACAAAAAACTTATAATAATTGTAAGTCTATAACAAAATGAAATTGCTAAATTTGATGAACCGTTCGATATTATTTTTTTTATATTCATAGGTTGCTTTACAACGCCTTTGTTAGTGAAAAGATTGGAAAAAATCCCGGTTTAAGCGACGTTGATTAATTCACTGTATTTGTCTGTTGTCTCGTTGCGTTCCTTCTTCGTAATGTTTTTTTTTTCTACCGTAGTAGCGAGCAACTTCTCATTTTGCTTGACTTAGCAAGCTTATAAGGCGGTGCAAATATACATTGTTAGATGCCGACCACGTTAAACGATATTTAAATATCGCTTTGCATTTTTTCCGGCCTGATTTCCTCTTTCCGTGATTTGCACTAAATAATTTATTTGTTTAAATAACTATTTATTGTCTATAGCATATATGAATGTCTCAAATTATCCAAGATATAACAAACTAGCTGCAAATAGCGCGCACTTGGCTGGAGATTGAATATGTTCTGACTGCAATAACAGTACAAGCCAGCTCCAGTGCAGCGTACTTCGGCGGTCGACGAGTCAGTGTTTATTATTCCGGTAACAGAGGGAAGCCCCGACAATAATTAATACAAGTCGTAAGTTCCAACTCGCGCTGGCTGCTCGAAGCACTTTGGGAGTGAAGTTAAATTAAACGCTGCAGATCGACGCGTGTTAAGCTAACGTTTCGGTTTAGTTGTTGTCTTGTGCCGCATTGTATTCGGAATTAGTTTCGGTCATATTATTTTTTTATTTTGTGTGATTGACACTTCTTCCATACAACGATGAAAATTCATTTGATGTATGTTTTGAATGAAGTTAATGTATACATACTTTGGTTGAAAAGTGTCACGCCCTTTGGTTAAAGTTACTTTATTCGTCGCCTGCGTCACGTAAAGGTGCTGATTTGTGTATAGCCCGTTTTATGTTAATATAGTTTTCGCTCTGGCTTTCTACATAGACATTTCCACTAACTTCCCGCCATAAATTCTCTTTACTCCATCCTCCTTCCTACACACGCGCCCAAACCACTGAAGCATTCCTTTTCCAATCATTCTTACAACATTTGATTAATTGAAATATTTTCCTTATTCCATAATTTTATAATCTTTTATCAAGATTTCCACTGACGATAATCTTGACTAAAGCCTTTGACGGAATAAATTAAAGCTTTCTTATACTGTTACATTAAATGTAAGTACACATGGTTGAGTATTGTTGTATATACATTGTTGTAGACGCGTAGTCGATCGATGATCGCTAATGTATACATTTATGTACATATCATATCACTTGACCTAAATATGAAACCGTTACATCTCATGAATAATATCTTTTCTATAAGCATTCAGCATACATTAAACTGCTGTCTTCCATATGCTAATTGAGATAAAAGGAGACTAAGACCCAATCACGGTTCAATTTCGTTGTGTTCATGTTTTCGTCAAAGATAACAGTGACAAACCTAGGTTCGATCATAACTTAGACAAATTATAACAAATTGGTACATATATTTAAAACAATCAACAAAAATAAATTCGATTAACCAATTAGAATCTTAATTTATGTAATCGTAATGAAAACGTAGTTTCCGTTTTCTTTTTGAAGTATGTACATTGAAAATTTGAATTAATTTAGTTGTGAGATATTTGCAACTTTGTTCCACGAAGAAAATATTTTCTCATACTTTCTACGCGCCGGTTCTGATACTTTTGAAGCTAAAAATAGTCTAGAAACTTCCCTTCTCTGGTGGCTTTAGTGTTAATTGAATAGAGCTAGTTTTTACTGAGTTGATTCGGAAAAAAACTACATATTAAACATACGCAAAACGTAAAGCGTCAGATAGGATTAGCAAATGCGTGAAGTCGATTATTTGTAACATAGACGCATATGTTTTATTAATGGATGTATCATGAGTAAGATATTTCGCCAGTGTAATCCACAGATTATTTCTCTAAGACCTCTACATTAGTGAGGACATTAATCACACGGTCGCCGGCGAATAATTGAAACGTCCCCGAATTCATGGCGCCTTCAAGAGACTTGTGAATTCTTGGGCGGTCGTAAATCGCGCCCCAACCGCTAGCTGGTTGACGGGCGATAGCGTGTCCTGTCCTGCACCGCTCTCAAAATCCCTCGGCATATTCCTCGCGGAACGTTTCATGTCTTACCGCGTCGCGAAACGTTCCATTTGTTTCCATATCTGCGATTTCTTTCCGTTAAAGGCGTTAGGTTCACCTCGGTCAAGTGAACTGTTCATCATTTATTTACATTTTTTAATTTTCATCATTTAGGTTTTTTATTCCTCGTGTATGATTATTTTGATTCAGTGCCGTTGTGAAAGTGCTATGCGGACTGATTCTAGTTCTTTTTAATAATTTTGCATGTACATATCTTTTCCGATAGTTAAAATAATATTTGTTTGATTTAAATCCTTGACGTTATACATTTATAAAGCGACTTTAAGTTTTGTACATTACTTTTTGTATGCTCAATTAAATTAGTTTACGGATTTTATCGATGTTTATTTCTATTTTCTACTCCCGACCTACTTGTCCGTCCTAGGCCACGAATAAAGCCTTTGACGAGATTTTGTAAAGTATGCGAAACGTCGCCGTCGGGAATTTTAAACGGCGATAGAATGCATAAACTTGTTTAATTATAACTAGTACGCGTTTTTAAGAGAACTTAATGTTACCTGAACTTATCCATAGCCACCTACTTTTCTAGTGTCTGTACCTATAGTTCATAGATATAGGTCTAGTCCCTAGGAGTTTGCATTATTTCACTTTTTCCATTGAAAATGTTTCATGTATGCCATATCTATATGAAGTGTAAACGTGACTCGTATCCAATTACAAAGCAAATCAATTATACGATATGTAACGTTAAACTATGTGTTCGTGAACCCGTATAATTAGGCCACTAAGGTATTTGCTTTAGAAATCCCACCTGTTTACGATTTTGTCATTTGCATATGCATAGTTATTGTCGCTTACGTCAAGTCGAAGATACTTCGGAAGTTTTATGTCGTTACAATGTTGCACCGCACGATTAATAATTGCCATGTTAATAATTTGCGTATTTTTTTGTACATCGCACGCCTTCCGTTTCCCGCTCCGTACGGCCCTAATGTTTAGTTTGAAAGCAACGCGTTTTATGCAAATTAACTGTGCAGTTAGCGGACGTTAAATTGGTTTGTTCATGTTCATCCTGTCGTGTGCCTTCATTTGAATATGTTTTTAAAAACATATGCTAATTACGGCGTCCGGTTATGGTGGCGGGGGAGAGGGGGGAGGGGTTTGTTTTTGTAGCGTTAAAAGCGGGAAATGTTGTTATTCCGTATAAAAACGCTTTGGTTTCTCTTCGGTTTTATTGGACACCAGCCCATTGTACTATTTTTCCAAATATTCTTCCTCCTCCTGCCTTTATCCCACCTATGTGGGGCGACACAACATGTTCATCATGTTGTTGATTGAATTGGATATGTTTTTTCTTACGACATCGAATATCCAGTTGAGTAACGGTTACCTGTGGATCACACAGTTACTTGCCCCGGGTCCACGAAGCATATACAGCAACTGCGTCATCGAGTCAAACATTCGTTGATCGTTTATTTTCAACAGTAATTAACTGAAATCTCTTATTGGATTATACGCCTGTGTTCTAAATCCAACTATCAGATGCGTGATAATAATAATAACAATTCACCCAATTAATTTTACATCATAACTAAAACCAACTATTTAAAAATACTATTAATTAAATTGAGGTTAACGTCGACAGCCGTACTAAAATAAACTGTGTCACGGCTGTCTATAGTGTTGATAGAGTAATGAAAGTACTTTAACGGCAGTAGAGCTAGAGTTCGGCTCCGTGATGTACCACATCTCACAGTAGCTCGAAATAAAATAGAAGTATTAGCACCTTTGAATTTCTTCCAATGATGGAGGTCATCACCGTCATCATCATCATCATCATTTCAGCATGTTTGAGTCCACTGCTGAACCTAGGCCTCCCACACAGACTCCCAAGAAATACGATCCTGAGCCACCTGCGTCCTTCAACTTCCTACACTTGTGCCTTGCTGTTGCTGTGTTATTGAAGAAAGAAATGATAGAGGTAACCATGTAAATGTAAACCTTTTAAAGACCAATCATTAAGGTTGCTTTTCATGCATCTGTAACGTGGGCTTGCAATATATACCATCAGGTGAACTGTTTATATTTTCTAGATTGTACTTTAAAAAAAAACGATAAAACTACTTAATTAAAAAAAAAAAAACATTTTATGATACAACGCCTTGTTTAGGCGACGACATTTTTAACGCTACAAATTTCAGCTGTAAAGCTATCGGGCCTTCTAATAATAATAATAATAATAATAAATCTTTATTTCAGACCAGGGTCCATATTTGGTTAGTACAAAACAAAATGAAAAAATCAATAAAGGGAAAATAAATTAAAAATAAATCAAAATAAATTAAAATTAACTAAAATTAAAAAATAAATCAAAAGAAATTAAAATTAATATAATTAAGACTAAGATTAACTAACATTAAATACACACACGCTTGTTAGCATATGTGTGTGCACCATTCCAACTCCTCCAGAGTGGGCTGTCGAGTTTGCACGCCAGAGTGCTGAGAAGGGCATTGGAGCTGTTCACTAACCGGCTCATCATGGATGCAACACGTTTCCGGAAGATCGCGTAGAAGTCGTCTACACGAGCCTCCGCAAACATTGCAGATGCACTGCAGTGACGCGGCTTCCCCAATACCGCTCTCAGCACATTGTTGTACTGCACACGAAGAGTTCTGAAGGTCCGCTGCGTGTAGTCCGCCCACAGACTGCACGTGTAAAAGGTTTGGCAGTAGGCTCTAAACAGCGTTAATTTTACCTCTGAATTACAACGCGCAAATCTGCGGGCCAACATATTGCCCCGGACCGACAGCGCCCTTCGCTCCCTCTCTATATCACCGTCGTCCACGAGGCGCTCGTTAACTATATGGCCGAGATACTTGAACTCCGCCACCTGTTTCAGGGGAATACCACACAATCGTATGATTGGCTGAAAATTGGTGGCTTTGTTTTTTCCCCTGAACACAAGGAACTCGCTCTTTTTGGCGTTGTATCTGAGTCCATTTCTCTCAGCATAGTCCTCACAGATTTTAAGTAGTTTCCGGAGGCCACTGACCGAAGGACTAAGCAGAACCATGTCATCCGCATAGCTGATGTTGTTTATAAAGACACCATCAACTGAGCATCCGACACCAGCTCTGCTCAGCCCCTCTATCAGCTGGTTGACAAAAATGTTGAACAGCCTCGGTGACGTAAGCCCACCCTGCCTCACTCCACAGTTCAGCTTGTAGGGGTCACTCATAGCGTCTCCCCATTTTACGACATTTGACTGGTTACCGTACCAGTACTGCAACAACGATAACAGCTCCGGCCTTAGGCTCGTTTCCGTCCTAAGTTTATGCCATAGTACTTTATACGATACAAGGTCAAATGCTTTTGACAGGTCCAAGAAGCACGCATACACTTGCGTTTTTCTGTCAGTGTAGTACCGTACAGTCTGCTTGAGACACATTATTGCGCTCTCGGTAGACAATTCGGGCTGAAAGCCGAATTGAGCGTCGTTAATTTTAGTAGCTTTCTTTAAATGTATTTCAAGCAGACTGTCCAGAACTTTAGCTACGATTGTCGCTAGGGATATAGGCCTGTAGTTGGACCTATCCGCTACATCGCCCGTCCTGTTCTTCACTATAGGCACGACCACCGTCATCATCATTGCATCCGGCAGGTGACCATGACTGACACAGAGGTTATAGAGCATGGTAAGGACTCTGGAAAGGTGCACTCCAGCATATCGCAAGTGTTCGACACTCAGGCCATCATGCCCCGGGGATCTCCCCCGCTTCATACTCCTTATTGCGTCATTCACCTCACAAACAGAGAAGCTCAATGAGTCTACCCAAGGGTCTACGGTGTCCCGAGCACCGTCCACTGTTTGACCTACTATACTTAGGGGTTCCTCCCTGAAGTGAGTCCTAAACATATTGGCAATGTTCTGACTCCCTGTTATGCCTCCCACTTCCACAGGAAGGCCCGCCCGTGCATTCAGTCTATTTGTTTGTTGCCAGAACCTACTAAACTGCTTAGTCTCGTGTGTAGAGGCTAAAATGTCCATTTTTATTTGATCTTCATGGTCCTGGCACCATTTTAGTTTATTTTTGAAAAGCCTACGAGACTCCCGCATATCGTCGTATGTAACTCCACTACTCGGCCTCCCAGCCATAACCCACGACTGAAAACACAGACGAGCTCTCCCGTGTAGTGGCCTTACATGCCTATTCCACCCCGTAACACAACCTTTTTTATTTTTCCTTACAATTTTATGACTAGCTATTGCCCCTGACTGCAATATGCTTACAATATGAGAGTACATATTATCGACAACTAGTTTATGTTCATCATTACAACAGGTTTTGCCACAACATTTCGTAAGCTCCATAGGAAAAAGTACTTTACTTAGCTTCTCATCACAAGTTTTCGTAAATAGCTTAGTCTGGTCAATATCCCTCTGCCCCCAGAATATCTTATTATTAGAAACTCGAGATGATGATACAAACTGAGTATGTAAGGGGTTTAGGTTACAAAAAATTTCCAAAGGATAGTGATCAGACCACGAGACACTGTTATTTACGGTTATATTCTCAATGTAACCCCTAGCCATCCTAGTTACCAAACAATGGTCAAGCCAACGTGTGCATCCGTGAACATCACTAATGTAAGTATACGTCTCCCCATTGTTTGGCAAAAGTTCAAAGTCCGCACAACACCATTTTTGTTCAACACAAAATTGCTGCATTTCATTAAAAAAATAATTCACCTGGTTGAGCATTAAAGTCTCCTAATACAAATACCATACTAATACCACTGTCCTCAACAACCGCATTAATCTCGCTCAAACAGTCTGTGAATTCTGGCAAGTTGTCAGTACAGTCAGTAGGCATGTATACCGAGAATATCAACAGATCACCTTCACGCAATTTACACTTTATAGCACAGAGCCTCGCATTATTGCACTTCACAACAGATACCGCCGTAAACGCACTCTTACGCCATAACAGCGCGACGCCCCCGTAGGGACGGCCGCGTAACATGCCTGCACTCATATCTACCGCTGACGTCCCTGTGGCTGCAAACTCGTCATTAACAGTACTTAGGTAGGCCAAATCATGCGGTAGCAACCAAGTTTCCTGCAGCGCAACCACGTCCGCCGCCGCCACACTCAAATACTTCTCACACTATCTATTGATCGCTTTAGTGACTTACAGTTAAAGCTAGTTAGCTTTAATTTATAATTATTCTCACTAATTGACTTCTGATCCATCATTTTTATTATTTTTATTATTTTTCCTCGTATCCCGTTCTGTAGGTGTCTTCCTTCCCTTTCTAAATATTATATATCTTCTGAAGTATATACCTTCCGGCCACAATTCATTATTTGTAAACAATGACAATTTACTTTTAGGTATACAGAATTTAAATGATGTGTAATCTTTTTCCGATTTATTATTATTCTTCACTCTCTCCGGCAATATATGTATATGTGTTTTCTCATATACATATTCGGCAATATCCCGCTCTGTGGCGTCTTTAGCGACGTTGTAAATAAACAACGGAATCTGCACCTCCGCCGCCCTGAATTTCCCCAGCGGGTTTATCACAGCTGTTCCTCTCGACCCCTTAAACCTTGACTTTTTACGCTTTTCAACTCGTATCCATTCACCATCAATTACATCTTGCTTGTTCACGGCGCTTTGTATATCTGCATTCACTACATTACATGACGTCATCACACCAGCTGACTCAGACGAGACAAGCGCTCGAGTCGCCATCTCCGACCTTAATACGGGAGTGACAGAGACAGCTTTATGATCTTCCGCCGCCGTATCGCTCACGCATGACAAGGATAGGTGCGCGGGCGCCTCAAATGCATTTGCCTCGTGTGCATTCGAAACCGCAGTTACTTGACGAGGGGCCTCCACGTACTCTTGATGTGCCACTTGTTGCACATGTGTGAATAGGACAGACTTATCTGTCTCCACCGCGCAAGCGCTCGCGTCCGACAAAGACAGGTGATCACCCATCTGTTTTTGCACTGTCCTTGTCGACGTATAATTATCGTTAAGGACGGTCATTAGGCCCATCGGCCCGCTTTCACAGTCGGGGCTATCTTGTAAGCAAGAACCGCCTCTCTTGCTATTGACATTAGGGTGACTTATGAGTTGCCCTCGTGTATTTTTATGATACTTTTCAAATTCAAATTTTAAATCATCTTTTTTAACGTACGTGTCTTGAAATACTGCACATTTCTCACTTATGGCACTGATCTCCCTCTGCATAACTAGCATATCCTTTAGTAAACGCGTCGCGTCTATGTGGTCAAATGTGACCGGTGGCAATTTTTGGATGTCTCGTGCCACAAACGTTGGAAATATCTCAGGATCTGCCCCTTTCAACAACCCAATGATGTCTTCTATGGTTTTGTTTTTACCGGCATCGCCCCTTCGTTTGATTTCCTTTTGTTGTACTGACTCGAACAACAAGCTTTTAGCCTCAACGATGTCCTCCTCAGAAAATGATTGCCTGCATAACAACGCTAGGCTCACATTATTCATAACATCAAGTTTATTTTGCACAAAACATAACACTTCGTTAATAATAATGTTACAACTATTACATTTAATTCTCGTCATTGTCTATCGCTTGAGGTCAACGACATGCAACCGATCGCGCGCGCTGTCAGCTGACGACTGATCTAAACTTCCCAAGTTTTATTTAGAAATAAAAAGTTGTGACCCCGCGAGATTCATGCCGGTGGCAAATTAGCAAAGTTTCGCGGAACCGCTGACCGATCTTGCAGGAATAAGGCCGCGGGGAGCGGTCGTTAGTGTTTTGGAGTCGTGTTTAAGATTTTTTTTTTATCGAGTCGGCCGCAATCTTTCCTCGGTTAGGCCGAGCCTTAGGTAAACGATGTTAATTTTGTTTTAAACGTTGTCGTATTGTTAAAATTTATCATCTGGTGGATAATGTATTAAATTTTTTTTTATCTTAAATATTCAATTTTCAAATGAAAAGAATTATTCATTTTTACATTATTATGTCACTTTTAACATAACTTTAAACATATTCGTCAAAGAATATAATTATGCAAACGAATTTATCCCTATTATTAGCAATAATAGCCGTGATAGCTCAGTGTCTGGGCGCTCGCTTTTAATTTAATATACTCGAGCAACCTGAGTTCGATCCCCGGTGCACGTGCTCAGCGGTGAAGGAAAATATCGTGAGGAAACCTGCATATTTTCGAAATAATAAGAAAAAAAATATTTCGAAGTTATGTGAAGTCCGCCAATCTGCCTATATGCCCTGTTACCCTCAGTACAGAGGAGGCCCTTGCCTGTATAGGCTGATACTTTAATTTTTTAATTTTGTTACAAATAATATAATTTAAACCATTCATTTGGGTAACACGTAATATTTAGTTCTTAAAAATAAACGTTTGTATATTTAGTGTCTATTTCAAGTTTAATATTCATTTCATATTTATTGTACCTAACTCTGCTTTCATGTCGAGGTAATTCTGTATTGTTTTCGTTATATAATGGGCATTGCGGAATCATAGATTGCGGAATAGTTGGAGTTTCTGAGGTAAACTAGGAATTCTAACACCCGTACAAGCTGTATTAAGAGTAAGGACCGTCGTAACATTGCTGTTAGTTGCACTAAATTCATTAAATCAAGTATGTAATATTGTTTAAATAATTTCTGTGTAAATGTATGCGTACTTTGCAAACATAGCTTAATCCGCACTAAATACTCGACATATAATAATTAAATAGTCTGGTTAGTGAATATATTTATGGACACAACTTAATAAAAGGTTCTCATGGTTTGTATTGGGTGGCGATTTCCCGCGTGAACAGTTCGCGGGTTAAAAAGAACGCCAAATATTGTATATGTGCTTTCATCCGCATCGGCGCCATGCCCCGGGCTGAATGTTGGACATTGACGCCTGTTCTAACGGGTAGAAAATATAGATATATATTGAATGAGTTCTGAACGACAGGATGGTTTTCCCGAGTTCAAAAAACGCTATGGCCGGAAGCGTTTCCATTCTGACACAATGTCTCTCTAATCACGATTTCACCTTTTTTCCGTATTGCTTGATAAAGTGCCCAATTTTTGTTGAGTATGCGCAATACGAGTTGTCGAAAGCTGAATTATTATTTTTTTTTGCATTATTACAATGGAATATAAATTATGGAATTACAAAATTTCATTACAGCGCTTATCGTTGTAAGCAAAATTAGAAAGTCGTGATATACCAGTGATACCGGGACTTATAAATTTAACTAAATAAAGACGGTAGAATATATAAAACACGTGGTAAAATTCTTTCGAAAAGTATGGACTGAGGTGAGTACGAGTAAAACTGAGCATGTGAAATGACCTCTCAGCGGAAATGTGGCAACTGAAACTGTTTGCATAGGGGCAACACCTGTTCCGATAGGGGAGAAATTCAAAAACTTATCTATGCTTACATTGATACAGATTTGATCAGGGACGGTAGAAGAAAGAAGAAGACTAAGAAAGAGGTAAAAATGCCGTGACAAACACTTAACATAGCGAAAGTCCAATTGCTCATGATGCTTAGTTTAGATTAGATTAAAAAGCTCACTTCTTCTTAACTCGAGCACCCAATAAAAAGGTCGTAGAAATGTGAGAACAGACGCGAACCTAATTGAAAACTTTGGCACACGTCAGAACTATCATATATATGGGCGTGGAACATTTTGGAGCAGACTCTGTGAGTGCTCTTTAAATCTTTGCTGTCTCCTCTTGTCACAACATTGGCCCAAACGCAATCCAATACCAACTATTCGCCGATGTCAGGAGTGTATGCCAAACACAGCACTTTTTCAGTTATATTTCCCATCCTTTTAAAGGGTGCTCGTTTTTCAAAATATTGGTAAGATATGGATCGGAGACGATAATACTTGAATAAGTTAATATGACCAAGTTCATTTAAAAATAAAGAGGGTATTTTATAGCAAATATAATTACCATGCTGAAACTTATGTTAAACAATTTCTTACATAACTATTAACAAAACCTGAGATATTTTATTTATAGTTACTGTGGTAGGCGCACACAGCTCTTGCTTTTGCACCAATGGCCAGGATCGTCCGGGGACCACACAAGTACCATGGAACACTAGCATTTCGCCTGGCGAGTGAGGTAACCGGGGTACGCTTATATACATAATAAACGTAACAAAGAACTTTGGTATTATACAAAGATTATACAGTAACATACCCTCTGTACATAACTTATTTTGCTTTACTATGTAACGATTAATAATGTCTTACGTATACTCGTCTTGATTATAGTGTATAACTTGAACTACGTTCGTTCCCTGCTGCAACTAAGTTGTAAGAGTTCACCGGAAATATTCTAATCACCCATTATTCCTTTCATGACATTGATCCCAAGCTATCATGCTCGTTCAACATTCCTTTCGAAATACATCCGCGACCCGAGCGATTTATCGTTTTTGGAATTAACGTCTAACTTAGCGTAGCAATTGCAAGCGAAGCTAAGCATGCGATCGTGTTTACGTCTAGCATGCAATGCTCGCGAATTTTTCCCAAAGTCTCAGTTAATAACTTCCGATAAAAGTTTTTTGTCCCACTTCGCAGCATGCGGACTGTGAGCATTATTTTCCAATCTCAATAATAACTTACTTCCGCTACTTATTCATAATATTTTAATTGCAAATAATCGTTAAGACAGATCTCTATATTGGTGCGTTTAAATTCTTTAGTAGTCTATTACAGACTCCTTTTGTGAACGATTTTGTTTGCGATCCATGACTGGAAAATATTATATTGTTGTTTAAACAATTAAATTTCCCACATTGAATTGTTCCCTTGGGACGTGATAAATTATAAATAAGTATATTGATATAATATACATAGATTCATTACCATATAGCAATTTTGTCACCAGTTGTCAACATAGCTATCATGTTGTTGTTATATTCATCTACTATTATCTATTTTCCATATTTATCATCCTATTTTCCATTAATGCACTAGTGCATTAATGGAAAATAGGATGATAAATTTATTATATATGGTCATCTTTTATGACGCCTCACATAAGGTTTATGTCTAAACATGTGGCCTTAGACATGTGCTCAATTTAATTCCGGTCGTAAAGTCATCACGTCCCAGTGAATGCATTAGCAGATTAGATTCGCCCGTGCCGAAAGCTTTGCTCAGGTGGCACAACCGTATACCAGGTAAATATTTTAACGATTAACCTACAAATATTCGAAGTGTATACACGAATTCAAAACCATAAATTCAATTTTGAATATAATATTTAGATAAAATAGAATTAAAATAAGTTCAACCCGCGTGCATCTTGAGGCTACAACATATAAATGTTTATTAATCTAATGTTTTATACTTCAGGTAAAACTTGTGACATATTATTATTGATTTTAATAGAAAAGGGTAAAAATATAAATTAAAATGATTCTCGTCACCCTGCAAAATTCGCATGGGACGCACCCCCTTAAAAGCTTTCTCAATCGTGAATAATTAAAGCTATTATTCCAAAGTCCGAATTTAGATTAATGAAATCCTTCCACGGCGGCCCTTGTTAGTTCCTTCTTTAATTCATTCTTTTACTTTGTTTTAGGTGATGATTAGCATTAAAACGAAAATTATTTCGATTCTCGTCCCAAAATGTCTTTTAAAATGATCCAGCCATTAAGAAATAACTTTCTTTAACAAGCGTATTGTCTTAAGGTATTCAGGTTCTTTTGTTAGTTTATACGCTTTCCCTGATTTCTCTTTGCGATTGAAGTTTGAGTGAACATTTACCATTGTAATATGGGCATAGTATTAAAAAAGTGTTTCAATTTATTGTTACTTTACTTACGTTACTTATAAGTAGCGGTCATAGGCATAATCTTATGTCTTCAGAATACTTAAGAGCGAATTCCTTCATGCGCCCTCAACGAGAACTTTTATTTCTTCATTTATATATATTCGAATATTTAGGCTTTTCAAAATTAGACTCAATGCTACATATTTTTTTAAATGCACAGGAAATTTCTATGTATTGTATGTATTTCTCCTAATAGAATTCTCCAGTTTATAACCGTATTTTCTCAAACACAATACATACATGAAAAGAAATAAAAGTTTTCAATAACTGAAACGTAGCTCTCTGTTGTAGACCTTTGAAGCCCAACATAGTATAACTAAACAAAAAAAAAACTCAATCAAAGAATCTAAGTTAAAGAGTTGGATAAGGGTTTTCATTTCATCCCTATTATTGAACTTTTTGATAGCCAAACCTCTGTTCAATATGACTTCTGTCCCTCGTTACTTCACGTTTTTATTTTTGAATTATAAGATATTTTGATTGAGAATTTTAATGGGACAAATGTGTTTCGTCATCGTGTTCTCGTCTAAATGTTAATAATTACTGCTTAGTTGTAAGCGGTTATTTAATACAAGAGAATCAGATCCTTTTTCATAATGAAATAGTACACGCGATAACTAAAATGACTGCAGTCATTAGCTGTAAAGGCAAATTG